TTTCTACAATGTGTACACATTTCTATAAGAGTTAATGTTCATTACACAAGTTGATTACCTTTGACTAGTTAAAATTTACAATACTACATCTATGTCCAAAATCCCTTTAACCAGTCATCACCTTCTAGTCCCCATTAGCTCCAGGAAGCAGTCCTTATGATCCCTTTGATATGTATTTTACAGACCTTTTCTGTGCATTTGCATTCATGTACTACGTGGATACGGTACTTATTTTAAAAATAGAAATGGTATTTATATATCTGATTCTGTGCTTTGCTTTATTTTAACAACATGTCTTGGGAGATATTTTCTGTGCTAGAATATTAAGACCTGCCTCTTTCTTTTTGTTTGCTGCAGAGCAGTCCATAGTACAGTTATGCCATAATTAAGTCATTTTTTTCCTGTTGGATATCTGGCTTGCGGCACACTTTTCTCAATTACAGCGATGCAGCAATGAACATATTTGGCCATGACTCCACAGTACACATGAACCAGTGATTGGGCAGCGGCTCTTGAAGTGTGCCTCCTAGATCAGCAGCTTCGGCATCACAAGGGAACTTGTTAAAGGCGCAAATTCTTAGCCTCTTTTCTAGACTTACTAACTCAGAAACTCTGGGAGTGGGGCCCGTCAGTCTGTTCCATTAAGCCCTCTAGGTCATTCTGATGCCTGATAAAATTTGAAGACCACTGGCAGGAATGTATATGTGTCCATATACACATATACATTCCTGCCAGGAATCTATGTGTCCATAGATCTATGTGTCCATATACACATCTACATGTCCATATACACATAGATGCCCACATGTACCTACACAGTTAGTCCTGCTATAATGCGACACACAAGTTCCTAAATGTCACTATGTTATGCAGAATTGTGCAATAAAAGCCACAGTTTTATGAGAAAAATGGAGTTAGGAACACAACAATCAAAAACACGATCAATGACACATGAAAACAAGAGCCAGCAGCCTAATAAAAATGATAGTACAGGGGCGCCTGGGTGGCCCAGTTGGTTAAGCCTCCGACTCTTGATTTCAGCTCAGGTCCTGATCTCAGGGCCCTGAGATTGAGCCCCACAGCAGGCGCTGGGCTCAGCAGGAAGTCTGCTTCTCTCCCTCTGCCCCTCCCCCCGCTCGCACCATCGCCCGCGCATGCTCGCACGCTCTCTCTCTCTCTCTCTCTCAAAGTAGATCTTAAAAAAACGATAGCACAGTCTTACAGGTGTTAAATGAGTAAATACATGAATACTACAGTAAATATGGCATTTTCCCCTGGAAAGACTTGAAGTTGGCCTGTGGAAGTGGGTGCTGGAGGAGCTTGTGCGTTAGTGTGTCATGGTTGAAGGAGGGTGAGCTGAAGTTGGAAGGACATTTGAACACCAGGCATGGCTGGCTGGGGCTTCTAACACAGGGGGCAAACTGAGGTAACTAACTGGCCCGCGTTGGGATGTGTGCGTTTTGTGTATTCCTGTGTGGCTCAGTTCATTTAGTGCATTTCTTGCTTTCATCTAGCATTTCTGGAGGACAAAATCACACATAAGCAAATGTGAAATTGGGAGTTAGGCCCCAGTTTTTTCCCCAGTGTATCAGTCACCTTTGAGCAAATTTGCCTCTTCCAGGAAAGCGTTACAGCAGACCTGACTCTGTGTACCTATGCATATGTTTATACATATGCTTTGCAGAAAAGGACCACATACACGACTGAATGCAGTTTTTTTTGCTTAATATTTTTTTCCACTTAATATCTTTTAGGTTTTTTTTCCATGTCAGCTGATAGTTACTTATTTTATAGAAGTGGCATTTAAAGCATTAAGAGGGGGCGCCTGGGTGGTTCAGTGGGTTGAGCCTCTGTCTTTGGCTCAGGTCATGATCTCAGAGTCCTGGGATTGGGTCCTGCATCGGGCTCTCTGCTCGGCAGGGAGCCTGCTTCCTCCCTCTCTCTGCCTGCCTGTCTGCCTGCTTGTGATCTCTGTCTGTCAAATAAATAAATGAAATCTTAAAAAAAAAAATAAAGCATTAAGAGATGACTAAATTGCTCATGAAAATGCTTGCAACAGTTTATGCTCACACCAGCATCCTTCCTACATCCTGGCCAGTATTACCCATTACCAACTGACTAATTTTTGCCAGTCTAATAGTTACATTTTTTTTTCTTTCTCTCCCTCCCTCTCTCTTCTCATGTGGATATCTCCATGTTTGTATGCATAATGTGTCTGTATGTAATATGGATGCAAGCACATGGATGTGTGTACATACACACATTTACATTGTGAGGGTGCCTCCCATAAATATACTGATAGGAAAAGGAGCTTTAAGAAAAAGGCTTTAAAAGTGTGAAACTGGGGGTACCTGGGTGGGTCAGTGGGTTAAAGCCTCTGCCTTCGGCTCAGGTCATGATCCCAGGGTCCGGGGATCGAGCCCCGCATGGGGCTCTCTCCTCAGTGGGGAGCCTGCTTCTCCCCTCTCTCTGCCTGCCTCTGCCTTCTTCTGATCTCTGTCTGTCAAATGAATAAATAAAATCTTTAAAAAAAAGTGTGAAACTGGTGACACAGTGCTAAAATGTGGGGGGGGGAGAAAAGAAATAAAATGGATTTGCAAAAAAAAAAAACAACCCACCAAAATGCACAAGAAAAGCCTGTTAAAAAGGGAGAGAATTCCCTGTTTATTTAACTATTTTTTACTTATACCTTTGTGAAATACAGCTTACCCACTTCCTGAGATAAGATACTGAGCTGGTGCTGTTGGGCTTTATCTATCACTCTGGCAGGCAGACACCTCCACACCTGCAGCTTACGCTGTGAAGCCATTCAGTTCAGCAACACAGCCGTAAGGGTGTCAGATTCTTGTGTTGATCAGTGGAGGGTTCCCTGGCCCCGAAAGGCTGAGCAGATCCAGCTGCCCTGAGGCATGCGATGGCCAAAGCCTGCGAGTCGGGGGACCCCTGACAGCAAAAGCCATAGAAACGGAGGAGCGTGCAGGTGTCAGATGTCTTCCTGTAAAGAGGTTGGCAGTGGACAGAAGTGCTTCCAGCTGGCCACCGCACCAAGCAGGAACGCCGTAATGACTTCATAATTAGATCCCATTGGTTCATGATCATTGTTATTAGGAAATATCATTGCTTTTTGATGATGTATTATGTGAGATGAGACTTTCATATAAACACTGTGATTTGCATATATATGTAATATATATTTGCATATGTATCTCCAAGTTTGAATGACTTGCTACAAGTAATCACCGAAAGAGGATGGAATATTGATGTAACGATGCAAAAAAAAAAAAATCTAAGGCAATTTTAAAATGACGAAGATAAATATGATGTTGCCCCTTCAAAGTCATGTGTTTTCCTCTCTATGAAAGTAACAGGAAGAGAGAACTCCAGCTGGACCCACCTCTGTTTTTGCCATGAGGCTTTTGTCCCTTGAAATCTCAAACTGATATGAAGAAAATATAAAGAATGGGTATACGGAATTAACATTTCACTTCTAAACTAAGAATTTGCTTTCTCACCCTCGCTTCTCCTCCCAGTGTTGTAGTATCATCTCGTAGCTGGGGTGTAGACAGAATGTGGAGAGGAAGAGAGGGAAGAGAAAATATTTTAATCCTAAAAGAGCTTTCAGTCTCACTGGGGCTAGAGCAGTGGAGCAGGCGAGGGCATTGAAGAACGTGCTGCTCACTTGTCCTTGTCCTCGCTCTCTCTCTCTGGCTGTTGTGTCTTCTGTTACTATTGTTTGCATTCCGGATTGTTAAGACTTGGGAATGCAGCTCTCAGGATCAGCCCAGGGTGCCAGATCCAGTGGGGAGTTGCAATACCAAAGCAAAACATTTCTCCTGCTCATCTGCACCAAGCCGGCTACTTAATCTGCAAGGCCCAGTGCTGGATGAAAATATGGGGGCCCCCTGTTCAGAGAGCCAGAAGGAGTGCAGTTAAAGGTGCTCAAGTATGCAGCTTTGTCCTGCCTTCCGTGACCTTTCTCTAGACTCGTCAGGTTTTTTATTTGTTCTTTAATGTCATTGTTGAGTTGTAAGAAAAATCAACATTTTCAGCCATCAGCATAAGTTTACGGTTCATCTATATATTGTGCAATGTCAGTTTTAAATGAAAACGTAAGAGCTTTTAACTTGTGTGTGGAATGACCAAAATTTTACAGTTTGTATTTTGTAACCTATACACACATAGGAATTTTGTTCTTACCAGGCCAGTGGGAACACTGCCCAAAACGAACCCAGCAGCTTTGATGTTATTTCTTAATACATGTACATTCTACTCACGTTTTCTGCCTCTGGTTTACTGATGAGTAAGGGAGGACTGAAAGGAGAAGGAGCTGCGGGTCGTCCTGTCTTTCCTTTCCTTCTATGTAATTTTCAGTGTATGTGGTTGGCTAATACAGAGAAGTAGTAACTAAAGTAAGAAAGGATATGATAGGGTTCCTTGGTCATTCATGTTTCTTAGAATGCCACTGTCTCTTTTTTGGGCAATCAAATACTGGTTCCAATGGAAAGGGCCTCTGGAGGGCCCATCCATTCAGTCCTGGATGTCACACGCTTTGCCTGTACTCACTTTGCATCTCACTGGATTCCCACACATTGTGGGTCTAGTGGAGTTCTGCATGCAAGTGGGGCACCTAGGGGGGAGCCCCTTTGGCCACATAGGTTGTGTATCCATGTAGCTGGCCCTTTCTATATGAGGGAAAGCTGCTGGACAGCCAGAATCCTCCTGCACACACTGTATGAAGGAGTCCGGTTCACGGCAGGCTCGACAGTGTCAACAGAGTATTCATGCAAAGTGATGTCCTTGAAACTAATGTGATGCCCTTATTTCAAACTCTGTTGAATTAATATCATTTTAGAAACAGTTGACTCTCTTAGAGTGCTCCTAGCTCCATGAGGAGGACCTTTCAGATGGACATTTGGAACTTCCAGGCTAAAGCTTGAACCAAGTACTCGTCATCGAATCAATCTCTATATCCCTTACAATTTTGCCTATCTTTCTCCCAGGGTTTCCAGCGGGAGAGCTACAGAAGCCTTTTTTTTGGGGAACAGAATATCCTCGGTAAGTAAATGAATGAAGAATCCAGTTGTTGACAAGTAGGGGAGAACGTGCTGCTTTGGCAGAGAATAGAATATAAAGTCACAAAAAACAAAGCCAATGATGGTTCAGCACAAAGAGGGGCATGGAACCCAGTGTGGGTCAGTCGCCCTTTTCATCATTTTAGGTACTTGTCTTCCTGCTCTTTCTCCCACGGTGTATCTCTGGATAGGAGAGGCAACTTCTACACATGGAGCTTTCATTTTTATGCATTTATTCACTTGTGCATGGACTCATAGTGCAAATATTTAGACCTTAAAGGATTGTTGGGATTTGAGTTGATGATAATGATAATGGGTCAAACACCATAGAAGAAATAATGTGAGAAGAAGAAAGGGAAGTGTGCATAGAATAGCAAAGATTTTAGTTTGGCTGGTCCAAGTAGTATATGAAGGGAAGTAGTGGAAAAGACATCTGGAAAATAAGTTTAATATTTGATATTGGAGGGCTCTGGGTGCCAGGTAAGGAGCCTGGACATTAACAAGCAATAGAAAATACTGACGTTTTTGAACAAGTAAAGATAATCAGATTTGTCTTTAAAACTGTAACTTGGGTAGTGATGCAATAGGTCAAAAATGGACAGTCTGTGGAGTTTGAGATATTAAAGGTCATTAAAACCAACAGATTGTAGACTTAAGTAATTCTGAATTTACATATATAGTGGGCATTCTGATAATATTCATTGTTGGTAATATCACACTTTTATTATGTGTCTTTATTTGCTCTGGTGCTTTAATACACAGAAAATTTAGTCTTGCTTTTAGAAGTTTAGTGTCTTTTGTTTTGGTTTGGATAAGTGACAATTTAAATATTCTGTAGGTTAAAAAACATATGGGATCACGTACATATAAAAGTAAGAGAAATATGGTAGCAATATTTTGATTTGGACTCAAAACAGACCCTATGCAAGGATTTGAGTTTGAGGAGTTCTTACGGGAGATGACAGCAGAAAACATCAGCGGGAGAGTGGAGACATGAGACAGGAGGGAAGGAAGCCAATAAATTGTGTTGTGTGAGTTTTCTGTGGCTGCCATAATCATCACAAACTTGGTGGCTTAAAAAACAGGAATTTATTAGCTTATGGTTCTATAGGTCAGAAGTCCAACCTGTGTCTCACTGGGGTAAACACAAGATATCCGCACAGCTGCATTCCTTTCTGGAAGCTCTAGGGAAGAATCTGTTTCCTTGCCTTTTCTAGCTTCTAACTAGCTTCCAAACTAGCAGAGTTGCGTTTCTCTGACCATAGATCCATAGTCAGATTTCCTTCTGACTCTCCTTTTCTGTCTTCTCCTCCACTTGGAAGGACCCTTGTGATTATATTGGGTGCACCCAGATAATCCAGGATAATCTCCCTGTTTTAAACTCAGCTAATTAGCAACCGTAATTCCCCTTTGCTATGTAATAACATCACATATCATGGCTTTTGGGTATTAGCATGCAGACATCTTTTGGGGCCATTATTCTATCTACCACATACGTGTTTCAGAGCCAGTTACCACTGTGAGCAACTGGGGCTCAGTCTTGCTGGGGAACTGTAGAATATGCTTTGACATAATCCCACTTTAGGGGCAAGGTTGCTGGGGTGTTGATCATCCAGTTCCCCTTCCCTCATTGATTTGAGGGCTGTCATCTGCTGTATTAACTCTCTGGCATTCCCCGTTCTCGGCCACAAGGGCTCTGGTAGCCAGAAAAAGTCCTCAGGCAACTAGTTTCAGGTGTTGACAGTTGGAAGATGTGGGATTGATGTGCTCAAAAATGGTGAGTGCCAAGGGGACCAGGAGCAGGCATTAGTAAAGCTTACTTTAGGGAAGTACTACATTACCATAAATGAAGATTCTTGGTTTGCTTTAACCAAATCCCTTACTATCATCCCAGGCCTCAGCTGCATAGTTTTTATTAGTGGTCAGGTATTTGGAATTGATTTTCCCCTATTATTCAAATTAAAAGCTTGTATTTATTTCTATAAAAATGAAGATCTAGGCTAAATATTCTCTAAGTTTCCTTCAAACTAAAAATGTCCTAGAACTCTTTGATTCTGCTTGTCTTTAGCAATTCAACTGAGCTTCTGTGATTGTGGTTATATACCTATAGACTTGGAAAAAGAGTCTGGTTAGGTTTTGAAGTTACTGATTCAGTGAATTTGTTTATTGGGTCCATGAGCACGATTTTCTAGTCTAAAAGTCAAAGTCATAGAAACCTAGGAAATAACATTAGTGTCTCTAGGTTCAACCTTATGCTGAGCCATATTTGATACTTTAGTGGGAGAGAGATTTGTGGTTTTTTCCTAAGGAGTTCTAGGTCCTCACTGAAGTCTTTCGTCCTCTATTACGATATCTGCTCAATGAATAATTATTAAGCATATTTTGGGTACTTGGTGTTGGAAAGATGAAGATGCTGGAGACGTGGGAATCATAGTCCAGTCAGCTGGATTCCCATACATCTCTTTTGGATGGATAGCCTCCAGACCAGGAAGTGGGTATCCATTATGTTCACACTGGTCAGCTTAGTCCTTCCCTGAATTTGGGATCTAATTCTGGGGACATTAAAAGGCGAAATTGTTCCTAGAGTAAAGAATCAGGATTGTAAGTAGTCTAAGACAACATCCCAAATTGTTTGTTCCCCGAAGTAGTAATAGAAGTAATTTCTTTTGTTTTGAAGCATAAGAATTTCCAAGAAGGCCTGTAGGAAAGAAACCTATTTAAATGTGTTTAACTCAGAGGTTCCTAAGTTCCCTCTTTACCTTTGTTTTGGGAAATGCTGCTCTAAAATTCAGGGCTGAAGAAAAAACAATTGGAAGAACTTGAGGACACTTGAAGGGGAGCCTTCTAAGTGTCTTCACTTTTTTTTTTTTAAGATTTTATTCATTTGACAGATCACAAGTAGGCGGAGAGACAGGCAGAGAGAGAACAGGAAGCAGGCTCTGTGCTGAGCAGAGAGCCCGATGCGGGGCTCGATCCCAGGACCCTGAGACCATGACCTGAGCCGAAGGCAGAGGCTTAACCCACTGAGCCACCCAGTTGCCGCCGTGTCTTCACATTTTTGAAGGAGAGTTAAGTTGGCAATTTACCGTGTTCAGAGGGGTCAGAGGATATTTGGCTAGAGACTGTATGAGACCAACAGATCGAAGACGTAGGAAAGAGATTGTGGATCAGTGCTAGGGAGAGCTGTTTTATTCAGAACCACCTGAAGAGGGACCGGTCCCCACATGAGCTCCCGGTTTTTAGAAATCCCAGGAGAAGTCCTAAGACTACGGAAACAGGTTTTTGTGGAGGAGGTCCGTGCCTCTACTGAGGAGTCAAAGTAGATAACCTCATTGCCGCTTTTGAATCAGAGATTTTGATGAGTTTTTGATTCAGGCACAGAGTAGCTCTCACTTGGTGACAGTGTGAGATCATGGCTGCTGCAGACAGCGGCCTGGCTGTCCTCTGGTTGACAGCAGAATCCAGGGCACACGTTAAACCCATGGGGTAGTAAGAACACGAGAGAAATCGACGAGGTGGAAAAATGGTCATTTTTTCTATTTCATTTTTGGAAGGTTCAATTTTTCTCTACAGCAGTCTTCTTGTTTCTGGCCAGCCAGTCCCATTTTAAAAGGCTTTTGAGTTTTATTTATTTATTTTTATGGCATGCTCATCTAATAATGTCCATTGATGAAATGGAAGATGGGCCTTCAGCATTATGAAACATTATTATTGGAAGGCTCAGTCATATAAAATTACTTTTCCTTGTCTCCCATCCAAAGGATCATGATTATGTGACTGAGAGTTGGAACTTAGAGTGATTCAGTTATTTTCTGAATTCTTTATTAACCTCTGCAAATAGGATGCTCATCAGAGCAGCCCCTCTTAAGGGACATTTATTGCAGTGCAGTTCCTATAAACTTCCAGTGTTCATGCCTTCAGCTCTCCAGTCACCAACATTGACCAGTGGTCATAGAGGCCTGAGGCCTGTACTCCGGGCTGAGAGGCATAAAAAAAAAAAAAAACAGTGTTGCAGGCTGCATAGCGATAGCTCCTGCTGCAGAAACTAGCACTATATAAAATTACAAGTTTGTCCCACACTGTCATGGGAGCTCCATGATTGAAATGCATAATTTTACTCTTACTTCCTTAATGAAGGTTTGCAATGATGTAAAAACAGTAGGAAGCGTTTTTTCAAATGCAAATTACCTTGCAGGGAAGAAATAACAAAGGAAAGAATTGCCACCGAGGGGAAAAATTAAATCTTAGAGCACTTCCTTGGGTATAGTTGAGACAAACAATTAGCATGTTAAGGATCATTATGTCCTGTAATAACATGTTGCTTCAAAAATTTTTGTTCTTTCCACTTATGGGTCCTTTCCATTTGCCGGGTGACTTTGATGTAGCTTGTCAGGAGCCAACTGCGAAATATTTTTAGCATAATTGCAAATCTCAGGAAGAATCCTCATAAGGAGGAGTTTAAATCGTCTTTAATCCTCATCCACATGTTAAATAACTAAAATAAGTTACATGTGAACCTGTCACTTGCGTGAAATGGTAAAGTTAATTAACCAATGAGTTAAATCACTGCTACTTTCTTAGTGTGTACTAGTTACACAGAATTTAGCAGTGATCAAGCACATAAGGGTATGGCCTTCTCGGAACTTGTAGTTGAGAGAGAATATTCCAGACCCCCACACACATCCAGAAGCCTCTTTGCGGATTTCTTCATCTATCATTAATACGCTCTGTTTCAGTTATGTATTGCTACCTAATAAGCAAGTGCTACCAGACAACCACTATTGGCTTGTGATTCTGCATTTTCCAAATCTGGTTAAGGCTTCAAGATCCTTGCCATTCACTCGTGACCTTGTCTGTCTGTCACCGAAGCAAGGGAACGTGACTCCCTTCTGAAAGCAGTGATCCCTTTTAATTTCTGTTCTGTTCCTTTTTTATGATTACATTTGGGAAACAACTTACCTTTTAAATCTAGAGTGATTTTTC